ATATAGACTAGGATAATATGATTTTATTGAATACTAGTAAAATGCATATGCGTGATACATAATTTATATTTTAAAGTGCTTTTAAATTAAATTTCATTGTTTTATATCTTTATGGTCTACTAAATTTTTTGCATTATTACTTTCAGTTAATCAAACAAAAAAAATACATTACATATATTACATACTTAATGTCAAATATATTGAAAGTTGAAATATAATTTTAAAAATAATAATATTCAAAAGTTGTGGTGAAAAAGAATATTGCATGACAAAGGGGGGTGATTGGTGATGGTTAATGTGATATATGTGGAGAGGAGGAGGAAGACTTAGACCACTTTCTGTTTAGATGTCCTCCGGCCAAGTTGTGTTGGAAACTGAGTGGACTGCATTGGGAGAAAATGGAAAACAATTTTTTATTTTTTATTTTTTTATTTTTTTATTTTTTAGTTTTTGTGTGGTGGGAAATTTGTATAGTTGGGGTCATAAAACTATCAAGGATAGGATCGGTCTTCCTTCTTATATCCTTCGGTGGTTAAGATTTGATGATTGAGAGAGAGCTGGTAAATGGGGTTAAGAGAGAATGGATGGAATTTAGTGGAGTCCAGTTTCAGGCAAATCTTAGAAGTGTGACCAGGCATAGAGTGAATCATTTAAGTGAGGGAGAGTTTTCTGAAGGGGTAGGACATGTGTGTTTGAATGTCAATGTCACCACCTCCTCTGCTGTAATCAATGACGGTTGTACATGGGCCCCGGGGGGCCCATGGACCCTCCTGATTTTTGTTTAAAAAAAATCAATATATACATATATAAATAAAATACTACAAAATATGTACATAAATACAAAAAGAAAAATCAATATATTAATAGTTAAAACTTATTAAAAATCAATATATATATGTAAAGAAAATATTATAAAATATGAATAGAAATGTAAAAAACAGTTGGAATATATTACTAATTAAAACTTATTTCCTATGAAATTTTTATTAAATTTATAATATCATTTATTTATTAAAAATATACCAACAATCTTTATATTTTAAATTTTTAGATAAGCTTTTGAAAACATTTATAATGATTCACTCTTTCGGTCACTTAGAGTATTTATTAATTGGATAGTTACATTTTTTAATGTTGCATTTTTTATCCTTTTTTTTTTGTAATCACATATTTTTAACTTTATTTATTTTTTTCTTAAAATAATGTTCATTTGATAAGCTTTCATCAACAAAAATGTTATGCAATGTTGCGTAACAGTTCCATTTAGATAATTTTTTCAACCAAAAAATTTATTTTTTCATATATTATAGATGTTGAACTTAAATTATAAATACATGATTTTTTTTTTAAAGTTTGAGGGTGATACGGATTCTAAGTTTTTAAAAATTTGATGGTACACGTATCAATATTTATATTTATAGTAAATACATTTTTATATGAAATGAGTGTTTTGACTTAAACTTCAAGCTCGTTATTTAACATTTAAAATCGGGCCCCCTGAGTGAATTTTCTAGACCCGTCACTGGCTGTAATGATCAAATTGGGAGTTGTTGTGTTTGAAGATCAAGAAATCAAGAGATTTGAAGTTGATGAATAATTTGTGGGAAACTAGGAGGACGTTTCTCTGATTCTCTCTTTGCAATCAGATGGGCTTTAGAGGCTGCTCATTTGCAAGGCTGGAGGAAGATCATGTGTTGTTTTCATCATAAAGAGGTTATTAAATTTCTTAATTGTAATTAACCCTTCAGTTTCCTTAAAACGTGGTAGCTTTGTTGGCTAGACTTTTGTTCTTGTTTGTTTGAGTTTCCTAGTGTTGCTTGAGTTGTGGTGCTATGCGTGGTTCTTCTGGTTTGTATGGTGGGTGTTGTTCATTCCCTTGAGAAATCATGCTCTATCGATTGTTGGTTAGAGGTGATGTTCTTGTAATCAGTGGATTACGTGGTTGTACTTTATATTTGAGTTAATTGATGAAATATATGTTTATTTGTCGTTGGACAAAAAACAAAAACATAAGACAATTAACCTACTTGTAAGCAAATGACCAGCAAACCTAATACCAAGCATTTGATCTAACACGATTCCAAAGTTCAATAGTATTTGCATTTATAGTCTGATAACATCATCCATACTCGGAGACAAATGAGTGAAATAACAATCAAACACTTTAACAAAAAAGAAAATATAAAAATAACTAGAGAAATCGTACATGTATAGCACCATTTAACAAGTAAAGCATGCTACTACTTTCCTGCAGGTGTATTTTTCCTAAATAGAAAGCGGGAAGATTCTAGAATTTTCTCCCTTAAGGCTTTGCTTTCATAAGCATGATCACTGTCTTTACTAAATTAAATGGCACTACAATTTCTTGGCTGTGAAAAAGCCTAGAACATCTTAGTAATGTCCAGGTCCAACAAACACACACACACACACACACACACACACACACACATATATATATATATATATATATATATATATATATATATTATATCTAGTTGCGCGGTCATTCGTTAGTCATCAGTCATCACAATGGTCGGGCCCGAACCCGATAATCCCGTTTTCCCTTTCTTACTATTATCTTTCTAATTTTTTGGTTTTCCTAACGCATTGGATGACTCAAACAATGCAAAATTGGTCAAGTACAACACTCTTAACTTAAGGAGGGTATCTTTCTTTTCTAGCCATTTTTTTCATTTTTTTTTTGTTTGTAAAGAAACCAAGTCAATGCACTTTTGATTTTTCTTTTAAACTGACGAAATATTCATTTTTGATATTTTCTTTTTATTTTTTTTTTCTGTTTGCGGTCCAATAGATGATTCAACCAATAGATCTTCGAAGAAATCGAGAACTCTGAAGCGAACAGGAACCCTGTTGAAGCAACCCCCGCACAGGATATCCACTCCGATTCCACCAAATACCACGGGCACTAACCCGCCCCCTGCGGCTCCGACTGTCTTTACAGCCGGAAATAGGGTAAGCTTTCGCGACACTTTGACGAAAACCCGACCACATGAGGCGTTGAATCTGGAGGATGAGAAGGGTTTGGAGGATGATACAGATGTGATTGTCGACTACAGCCTGTCTGAACCTGATATCCAAATCTCTCATTCTTTCAAGGAATCCCTTATTAAGTCATGGGATAATGTGATTGTCATCAAGCTTTTAGGGTTGACGATGAGCATGCCGGTTCTGTACCGAAGGTTGCTCACTCTATGGCCTTTCATTCAGGATTGTCCTATGGTGGATTTGGAAAATGGGTACTTTTTTGTCAAGCTGAAAACCAAGGACGATGCCGTGAAGGCTCTGGTCGACAGCCCTTGGGTTATCAGCAAGCATTACTTGCACGTTCAACCATGGACTGAGAAATTTGATGAGTCGGTGGACCGCATCACCAACACAGTTGCTTGGTTTCGGCTGCCGGGTATGCCGGTGCATTTATACCACAAGAAAATCTTTCATTCAATTGGACAAATTGTTGGGAAAGTAGTCAAGCTTGATTACCAAACCACAACGCAAACCAGGGGAAAGTATGCGAGTATTGCGGTCATCCTGGACCTGACCAAACCTTTCTGTGCTGAGTTTACCATTTAAGGGAAACATGAAAGGGTGGAATATGAAAGCCTCCTGGAAATTTGTTACCATTGTGGCCGCTATGGACACCAAATCGGCAGCTGCCCCGAGCGGCCGGAACCAAATGTCGCTAATAAGGCTGTCCAAAAGTCGGGAGAGCAGTCTCGGCCGGCAAAGGAAAACACCGGAGCGGCGGGCGGAAACCAGAAATGACTCAACCTTTGGCCCGTGGATGCAGGCGCAAAAAAGGGTACGATCGGGAGGAGGAAGAAATTCGGGGACTCATGTACGGTTCCCAAAACAACTGGGGATACCTTTTAATGTGGGTTCCCGATTTGATACTCTAGGGAACCTGAGAGAGGAAAATTTAGAGAACATCATTTTCTCTACAAAAAAGGGGACGACATTGGGGGGAAGTAAAAGAAAATTGGAGGCCTATCTCTGACTTTAAGAAAGGACGCGGGAAAGCTAAAGTGGGGGATACTTCGAGTCAAAATGTGAATTTGGATACTGTTGGGCTTGGGCCTAGCATAGAGCCATCTAATGGGCTGACTACAATCAACCTAATGGGCCAGAACGAGAAGCCTCAGAAGGAAATAGCAGGTCCATCTAAAGAGGCTGAGATAGACAGGGAAGGAGCAAAGTTGGGTCAAGGGGGGCAACTAAGAAGGACCAGACGGGATTTGGGAGGGGTGGCAGCCCAAATGGAAGTCGAGAACTTGGCTATTACGCCAAACACGTATGTAGTACCTGTTGACTCAAACCTCGACCCAGCTCACCATAAGGCAGTACCGGTCTTTGACAACCAGAGGGCATTAGAGCAATCAATTGCTCATGACCCGGAAGATACCACGATGGCTGAGGGCTCCACCTCCTCGCAGCAAGAACACCCCAGTCTGGAAGGGGTACACGATGTGACCATGGTCACAGAGACACCAGAGAACTCCGCCACGCTCCACGCCTGCTAGCGGTTAGCACTCTTTGTTTAGTTTGATTATGAAGATATTGTTCTTTAATGACGTACCCGTCAACCAGCCTAGTTGGGCTTAGGCTTCCGAAAGACTTATAAGTGAGGGGATGAGGGGATGTTAGAATATACACTGCTGAGTTGTCTCACACCGTCTGTACAAGGAAAATAGGCCTAACTTATAAGCCTAGTGGGCGACTCCTCCTACCACCAATTGGTTTTGGGATGGAACTTCACTTGGGCTTCATTTGGGCTTCCTTGATTTGGTGCGCTTCATCCGTGGGACCGCACCCGTCAACCCCCGTTTGTCATATCTCTTCCAAAGTCCACAAGCACAAACTAGATAGCACAAAACGCTTGCCACTCCCTGATGGCTTATCTGACTAGGCCAAGCTCAGTGATGCTTGAGTTGTGGTGTTATGTGTAGTTCTTGTAGTTTGTAGGGTGGATGTTATTCATTCACCTGGGAATTCATGCTCGAGGCCAATGGGAATTTCTCTGTGGTGGATGCTGTGGAGAGTAGCACTTCAGCAAAAACAGACAAGGCAGTGAGGGACAGAACATGCAAAATCAAAGCCACAGGTAAAGTTAAACATTTCTTGTGGAAATGCTTCTCGGGAGCATTACCAACCACTGGCAATTTGGCCAATCGAGGAGCAGCCGTGGATGAAATATGTTAGTTATGCGGAGAAGAGAAAGAGAACATGGAACATTTGTTTTTTACATGTCCAAGAGCAAGAATAGTGTGGAAGTTGGCCCCTCTTGATTGGCAAGGTTGTAGCCGCAGCACACTTCGTTCAAGTAATGGTGGTGGGAGGTATGTTCTCTTGATTACACTTGTATCTCCGAAGCTCGTATTCAATTATCAACCTATATTTTGTGGTGGCTTTGGAGATCCCGCAATCTGTGGATTTTTGAAAAAGATTGGATGCCGGAAAATGTAATCGTGAAGAAGGCCTGGACTGATTGGCAAGAATTCCTTGCGGTATCTAAGGGAACTCCTACATATTGAATGAGGAGCTTTGTAGTTGCTGTTATCCTTAGGTTTTTTTCTTTATTTTCTTGGTTTTCTTTTTTGCTTCCGTTTGTTTTTCTTGTTGTTGGTTTGTTTTAGCTTTCTTAGTTTGGTTTGCCTAGTGTAATGGTTGTGGTAATTGACTAGGGGTCCCAGGAGTTCTTTTCCTGCCTGTAGTTGATGCAGCCGTTTGGTATGTTTCTAGGGCACTCGCATGAGTGTTCCTCCCAGTGTCTTTTTCTCCCAAATTTGGGGTGTGTCGGCATGTATTGTACTTGTTTCTATTTGTTCTATTTGCGTACTCTACCGTTGGGAAAAAAAAATTGTTCGTTAGAGGTGATGTAATCTATTGTAAGGATTACATGATTGTACTTTATTTGAGTTAACCTGATTGTACTTTATCAATCTATCTATATATACATATATATATATATATATATATATATAATTGTAGGCTATTCAATTAATGCGGATAGCCTACATTTCCCGCCTATTTTTATAAGTTATTTTTGGCATGTTTTCACTCATCATTTTATTTGTATTTTTGTCATTAATATTTCAATATTTAATAAAAGTTGTAACGGTCTTGTCTTAATAATTAATATAATTGCACTCTTTGTTAATTTGATAAGTAAGATATATTTTTTACGTACTCTTTATAATATTGCAACTAATTTATTCTTTCTTATGATTTTACATTTGTTTAGCATTTGAATTTTAAACTATTCATCCTTATTTTGAACCATTTTAATTAGGGCAATAAAATTGATTTTTAAGGAAATTATTTGAAGTAAATACAATTTTCGAATTTTTCTTCGTAAATAAATCTATAAAAATAAATCATAACCATATCAATTATTTTGTCTTTTCATTTGTAGATATTTCATTATTAATTAATATATATATATATATATATATATATGATAATTATTCCTACCAATTTTTTTCCAGCCATTTTAATAATGTAAATTAATGTTAATTTTATCAACTCATGTTATTTTTTATCAATTTTATCCTAAATTAATTTGTAAGTGTTTTAAAATACATAAAATTTTATACATTGGTCTATTAATTGAGATGCAATGTTACTTTATTTTTTCTACATATTTGTGCACAGAAATAAAAAATACATTCTTATTAATGTGTAACAAGTGATTGTGATACTTCAGAATGATCAAATATTTTTATTATAAAATAATACCAATATAAGTATTTATTATAAGTGAAAAAGTTTTGATGAAATAATCTAAATGTACATTTTATTTTTTAAAATACAAATATAGTATGTATAGAATTTGTTCAATCTTTGAAAAAAAAATCAAATTATGTGGAATATAAGATTTATGTTGTCTATTTTAAATTTATTATTTTTTTACTTTAGTAAAACTTTTATGTTTATATTAATATAATATTCAAATTGTATAAAAATTAGATTATTCATTATTCTTTTAATAATAGTCATTAATGGATGATAAATTCTACGGCTCTATTGTTTTTTCTATCGAAGTATAAAAAATTCAACTAATAGTCTTTAATGTAATTTGATTATAAATGTGATACATACTATCAAGTAAAAATTATGTTTTATTTATAATTTTTATATATAATACCATTTATTTATTTTTAGTACCCTTGCACAGGATTGATACTAGTTTGAGTTAATTGATAACACCATCAATACTCCGAGACAAATTAGTGAAATTACAATCAAACACTTTAACAAAAGAGAAAATATAAAAATAAGTAGAGAAATCGTACATGTATAGCAAGAAAGTAAGAGCATAATTTAACAAGCAAAGCATGCTACTACTTTCCTGCAGGTGGGCTGTGGGTGTAAGAGCTTATGGATTGTGACCAAGACCTTAAAATTAAAGCATATATAATTTATTATAAATATAAAATTTTGTTCCAGTATTTTTAATTCCTCCGAACATCTTCAAAGTCCCTACAGATGATCGGAACATTAATATCCAGGTGACCAGGTCCAGCAAATACATATATATCCAGCTGCGCCGTCGTTCACCAGTCATCACAACGGTCCGGCCCGAACCCGAAATACCCGTTTGCCTGGTCGATAGTGATCCGTGTGCCTTGTTGCACAACGTTGCCGATTACGCTTTGTCCCTGATCCGATTCCAACTGAGCAAACGCCAAGCAATTGGTCGGACCGACCAGAGGTCTCTTGCTCGTCAAGCTGGTCGGGCCCGGCCCATAACTGGTAAAGAAAAGCGTGATATTCGGTATCCTCTCTGACCCGCTCAGTTGGTAACACGTGTCGGAATCCGGCTGGGTCGACACGTTCCCCATCGCCTTTTTGAACGCGTCCCGGAGCTTATTGTAGGCATCCTCAGGTAATGTCGAGAACGTCGTCCCCGTGTCCACTATCACCCCTCCATCGCCGTCTTCCAGACATCCTAAAACTCGTCTCGTCAATGCCGTCCAGCCGGACCCCGTCGACCGCGAGGCCCGTGAGGTTGATGTAGTAGTAGATCGGGTACTTGCTGCTGTGAAGCATAGGAGTCCACTGGGTATCGGTGGAAAAATTCGACCGCCCGAATTCCAACCATCCCGCGCGGCTGAGACAGTAGCTGAAGGCCCCGCCTAGCGTCCCACTCGACTGGCTCGCCAGTGAGAGGAACCCGCCACCCAGGCCCAGAATCCCGTTCATAGGGGAGCTGAGGTTAGCCGCTTGCGCGCATCCCACGGGCACCCTGGGGACAACCGAGTCCCCAACTGTGATGCTCTCGAGGGCCATGGTTCCTTGAGTGTTGGACCCATCCATGTACCAATAGTCGTACGTGCAGACCCCTGATGGGTCGCAGCCGAAGTTGTTGTCGTGGCTGCAGTACTTGGCGTTGGGGTCGGATGAGTCGGCGCAAGGAACGGGGACAAAAGAAGTGGAATTGGTCGAGTTGAAAGCCGGCGTGAGTGTGTCCATGGGGAAGCAGTTGAACCACAGGAGATTGCTGCCCGTGTCGACGAACAGGGTTTGTTCCTGCGGTGGGGTGCCCACGCCAAGGGTCACATTGTATGCTATGTGGAAGATGATGGTGGTCACAGGCACACGGGGGTCAGTCGCCAGGTGGCGGCGGGTCGTCGGGCTGTTGGTGTGAGTCAAAGGAATCCTAGTGCCGGCAATGGTTGAGACAGTGAGGAAGAGGAGAAAGGCTCGACAGGTAAGCATGGTTGACTAATCACTAAACTCGATCGAGGTTCGACAAGTTGTTTCGTGAACTGGTACTTAAATTTTTATTTTTACTGAGAAAAAAGGGGCAATGTCTACTTATAGGCTGTTCAAGTTTGGGAGCATAAGCATGGAAAAGTGGATCCAGGCGGTGACAGTCAGACAAAGAGATATGACATTGAGAATGTTTTAAAGTATAAATGAGCGGCAAAATTTAAGCAAAAAAAAAAAGGATTTGTCTTTCTTCTTGAAATTTGGTTAGGTAGGGGCATTTTTTCTCAACAGGTGAGAGCCTCATTTTGAAATTTGGTCAAATGCAGCACTATTTAGTAGAAGATCTTCTCACACCATTTTTCTCCATGGATGATAGCTTCACTTTGAAATTCAGTTTTTCATTAGCATTATTATTATTTATTATTTTTTTGGTTAGGTAGGGCCATTTTTTCTCAACGGGTGAGAGCCTCATTTTGAAATTGTCCAATTTATTTTTATTTTTATAGGGGTAGGGCTTGTGACACATTAGATGATTCAACCAATACTGAGTTGGAAAAGTCCTCGGTCTTAGGGTGCGTTTGGTTTAAAAATGGTATTAGACTTGACATTATCATTTTCGGGCTTTAGTGGGTATCGAAGTGATTATGTCAATTTTATTATCTTGTTTGGTTATTAAATTGTTGTGGTTGATATCCAACTTATTAATTCATTCTCTTGTTTGGTTCAGAACGCACTAGTACATAGCTTGTGCGATGTACAAAACTAGTACACATATATTGAATGAGTCATTTTCATAGAACTTGTCCATGTATGTATAGAAAACAAGCAAGAAAGAGTTTTCCAAATGAGTCCCAACAAGGGTGAAATATCCATTGGAGTTAGTTCACTCGGACGTGTGTGGGTCAATCAAACCAAATTCTCTTAGTAAAAATAATTACTTTTTATTATTCATTGATGATTATTCTTGAAAGACATTGTTGTATTTCTTGAAGCAAAAATCTGAGGTGTTTCTACCTTCAAAAAGTCCAAGATTGACCGCGTGTCGCAACACGTCAAATTTAAATTTATAATTTTTCCTTAACAAACCTCTACTAACTAGTAGTAGTGGCGAGCAAGGGTCGATCCCACAGGGAGTGTGGTATAAACCGTGATTTTATTATATTAATTAGATTAAAATAAAAATGGGGGGTTTGATTAGAAACGAAACTACTAACAAAAAGAGAAATTAAACTAGAAACTAGAAATAAATGACTAAAATGCAAATGATGATGAAATAGAAAATAAATAAAAATAATCTAGCAAAGATGAGAATGGAATCGGTTCCAGGTCAGTCTACACCCTCGAATAACTAGCCCAATTAATGCTTTTATCAAATTTCACTCGTCTTCTAAAACTACCGGTCCTAGATAGCAATAAGCTCTGCTACCCGAATTTTCCCTTAATTTATACTTAATCGAAATAGGCTCTTCAATTAATTCTAACTAGCGAATAACTCGGAATAAGCTCTTTATTTAACCCACTAGTTGCATTAAAATCTAAGAAAATAGACCGATCTAAGCCACAAACACATAAGCTCGGTTCATGTAACTTATGTTGTGCTATCCCTAACAATGCACGACTGTTAGTTGCTACAAACGAAATAAGAGCGATGACAATTACGGATCGAAGCCTCAAATCTAGCAATTAACATGCAATTCCTAACTTAGGTGATCAAGCTAAATTAAAAATCACACATTATGACATGAAACTAGAATAACACAAACAATTTTATACGACGAGTAAAACGAAATAAATAGCATTAATCAAACATAGTCATCGAGGGTTCAACATCCCTAGAACCGAAATAAGTATTTAGCTACACATAGCTAAATAATAAAAACAAAAATAATAAGTCATGGTTTTAAAACAAAATAAAGTAAAACAAATAAATAAACCCAAACTCCCTTAAGAACACAATAATCACGGCCAAATTAATGCTTAGCAGCCACAATTGTTCTTTACGGCCTTTCTCCACTTCCGTCCCAAAAGTTTTGCAGCAGGATGAATGGAAAATATATAAAAAATGTTATTCCTATCTCTACTCAAGTAATCCACCCACGTGAAAAAACTCTAAAGTCCAACCCAATTCCAATTCTATTAAGTCTTCTTGGTGCAATCACAATTCCTTTTGCCAAGTCAGCCAATCAAATGAGAGCCCAACAAAATTGATAGTTATCTCCCTCCAGCAACTCTCTCGTACAAGTCCACGTAGATGAGATTATTAATTCCACATCATTTCCTACTCCACTGCCACCTCATCCATGCCACATCATTAATAAGCATTAAAACTGCAAAATAAACACAAAATACGAGTATTGATGTATGTCCATTCACAAGATAAAATATGTGAAAAATCTTGTATAATACACTAAAATCGACTATCAGATATATAAATTAAACCACAAAATAATACAAGATTTATCGCATATCA